TGATTGCTGTGTGGATCTCATAACATAATGGGTGCTATGAGAATAATATATACTCTCTTGTTTCAGATCTTTCGAAGAGTATTACCATGCACATCGAAGGAAATCATGGCCTGAAGGGTGAAATCAGATAAATCAAAGTGTATCTATATGCCCTTAATCAAGCCCATTTATATATTCTCTTACAGGCATTAATGAGGAAGCCAGAGAAAGTGCGCACTGGAGATCTGGGGGTAATTTTATTGGCGTTCAAGTTTTGAATGTTATAAAAGCGTAAATATGATTGCACCATTAATTTTTATGTTCTCTGCAAATCTTAGAGTGTGAAGGATTCACAAGGTTATTTAAATGTGAAAATCTATTTGTGTTCTTTGCAAATCTCTTCATTACTTTTTTGAAGATGCTTGAGGAAAGATCTTTGAAGAAGCTCCAATTCTCTTCCAACATCAGGAGGGTGTGCAAGGAAGTCGGTTCTCTGCCGACACCAGGAGGGTGTGAAATGACGCCGGTTCTTTGTCAACACTTGAAGAAGTGTGAAAAGACGATGGTTCTCTATCGACACTTGAAGAGTGTGAAAGGATGACGGTACTTTACCGACACTTGGATGGTATAAAAGAATGATGGTACTCTACCACACTGGGGATTAGTGGAAGAGAGGGTAATTGTAAAGGCTTCTCTGCCTTGCTGTGGGGCAAAATGAGAGTCATTTTTGTAATAGTATAACACCTGGAGGGGGTCTTCACAAAATAGATATAGGTCTTGTTCGACCGAACCACTATGAATTATTGTGTTCTTTATACATTTATGCATTTTATTTTCAACAATTTGTTATTGTGGTTGAAAAGTATATTTTAAAGAAAATCAAATTGTTTTAAAATTATTAAATATTTTTCTTAAAATTCTAAGAAGTTTTTAAAATTACCAATTTACCCCCCCCCCTCTATTTGTTAGCCTTAGCGAATTGCATTAGGTCTAACAAGCTATACAACTTTTAAATTATTCTTAAATATATAAATTTAAATTATTAAATTCAATAAAAAATGAGCTAAGGTGGTCCTCACAATAGAATTATTCATTCATTTAATGTTTCATAATTAAGCTAGAAACGAATTATTCTAAGCAAAAGAATTATATTTTAAGTTTACATCTTTTATGTAATCATATAAATAATTAATATTTATCTCTTTTTTTTTTTTCTTTTTTTTGTGCGTGCTATTATATATATATAATAATATATATATATATTTATATATATTATATATATATATATATTTTATATATAATATATATATGATACTATTTAAAAGTGGCTTTGAGTTTTCATCCAATACGAAACAGGGCAAAGGAAGGATTTCATTTCATTAAAAGAAGATGTTGGGTATAAGGGAAAGCTCTGTTCAAAAAACTAATGGGTCATTTCTGGAGTGAAGAGCTGGATGCCGGGCCTAAGAGGAAGAAGGAGATTAAATTTGCATCAAATGAGGTAATAGGTGGATTGTAGTAAACGTGATGATTCGGTAGTCATGATCCAAGGACGGAGATATGGATTGCCTAGCATTCTATAACTGAAATACTTCCAGGTAAAATCGTTCTATTGAGATTTATGTACGCCATTTTTGCTTGGTGGAGATTAAAAGTTGGGAATATCTGATGGTATGTAACACAAGTTAATATCTAGGAGCTCTAGCAAAACCTCTGCACCCTATTTGGACTCTCTCAAGACAAGCTAAGAATTGTATTCCCTTCGCACATTTCCACAAGAGTGAAAATAACTTCCGCTTGTGAAAATTGTTTCTCTTTTTGATGCAGTTTGTGCATCTAATGATATGATAATATATTGGTGTTTGAAGCCCCAACAAAAAATTATGGGAGAACTGATGATGTCCTCTGAGCTTCCTCACCTAAAGTAGAGTTGGTTTGTCCTAGCAAGAAATTCTAAAGTGTGCGTAATTTAAGCTGTGTATTTTGAAATAATACTAGGTCGTCATTGATTGAAGGTTTTCTAAGTATAGAATTTAGTCTGTTTAAAAAGTAACTGAAGAATTGTATGTTCAGCTTTAAATTTTAGTACCTTTAATATTTTATAGAGTTTATTTTAGAATTGAATTTTAATTGTTAGATGATAATATAAGAATTGATTCTTTAATGTATTTAATTAATACATTTTTTAAATCCTTATATTATTAATGAAGTTATTAATGATTTTAATTTTTAGAAGATTTATTACTTTTAAAACATATTTTTCAAGCGTTTCTTTTGATATAGTTTTAACTAATTTATTAATTTTTTTAGATTTATTATTATTATTATTATTTCATATTATTTATTAGATTGGTGTTTATAACCTTACTTCTAAAAATTATTTAAGATTATTTTGGTTTATGAGTTATGATTTTCACCTTTATATTTCATTTTCTATAGGTGGTTCATTCTAATATTATTATTTATTTGTTTGTTCAACTATTACAATACATAATGTTATTTTACATTTAGTTATAAGATTTAAAAATTGTTATAAAAATATAGTATATTCATTTATATTTTGTTTTTTACTTTATTATTTTTATAGTTGTAGCCTCTATTCTTAAAAGAGAATTTTAATGGATTTTTTTAATTATATATGAGTGATTGCATTTAGGTTTAAAGAGATTCCACGTCAATCCTAAGGTGTGACGTGTCACTTAAGTTTTTAGTTTGTGTTTTCTACCCTAAACTGTGTGCAGCATCAATATGTCTAAGTTTTCTAAGACTAAGTCCTTATTGTCCTTAAATCGTCGCTAATGTGTAATATGACGATGAAAAAGTGTTGTTTATCACTACACTAACAGCTTATGACATTGCATTATGTGTAAAGGTTTAAGGATCTAAAATAAAATAAAAAATGATCATAATAAAATTAAAGTTACTATAGTGACCTAGGGGGCAGGGTTCCTACAACCACACCGAAAGGGCCTTCTCAGGCGCTTTCTAAGTTATAAGAAATAGTTTACATAAACCGATGGGCTATGACCCAGTGTTTCGCCCGTAGCCACCTCCACCCGGTTGGATGGAGAAACTGGCAATATTTAGTCCCTTTAGGCCTTTTGTTCACTTTCGACCTAGTTACCATTCCTCGCGTCATGCAAGTAAAAGAAGAGAAAATATGGATTAGAACATATTTAAATATTATATTAAAACTTGATGCTGGACTTGAAATCGGTTAACAGCTTTCTCATCATTCTTCACTCACTATAAAGGTTTGATTAATCATGATTTAAAGAGGATATTGATGCTGATTTAATTCAAAGGGGCATTATTTGATGATTAATTTTTAGGAATGAATTTGCTAATCAACAATTATTTATGTTTTTAGATTTTAAACATCAGAGCAGTTTTAACATAATGATTTACTTTTATCTTATTTATGCCGATTTTGATTTTGATTGAGTCGAGACAATTTATTTTGTCCAACTTCTTTAGAATTAGGTAATGTTTTAATTTTATATTTCGATGTCTTTGTGATCGGGTCGATGCGGCTTCAGATGTGTCAGAACTGGTCATGCTAATTAACATAATTTTGTCAAATATATGACGGATTTTTGTCGAGTCGGAGAATTGAGTCAATGCTACGACATCGAGTAATCCATCTAAGAGAATCCTATGGTGGAGACGTCTACAATAAGGCTACGCAAACCTATGGTAACTAGTGTTTAATTTCTGGTAAAATTGACCCGATTAATAAGGTCACAAGTGGCGGTTATATTTAATGATTAACTACTTGAAAATCCCAAAATTATATATATAATATATATATTATATTATAATTTGGGGGGTTGGACTCTTTTGCAGCCAAATTTTGGTTAATCATCTTTCAAAAGTTTTGATTTGAGAGTATTTTTAAGTTTTTTGGAGTCTCATCCCAAGGCACGAGAAGGCCGTAACAAGGATAGGGATAAGAGGTACAATGAGATAGAAAGACGGAGCACACTTTCCTTCAACATTGTCACTCTCCAACATTTCATACATCCTTATTAAAAAACTACTAATCATTACAAACCATTATAACTCCAATACTTCCCTTCCAAACTATAAAGAACATCCATGTAAAGATGAAGTACAATCTATTATAACATTTCACCAATTATGGATCCACTACATATACAACCATTCCTTCTACTTCCATCTCAACACTTTTACTAAATAAAATTAAGAAAAAAACTTGTGCACTTCTAATTCTTTCAAAGATATCAAGAAATCCATAAACTTTAATTCATGAATACAATTCACTGCATATCATGTGTCATAAGCATTTCTAGTGAGAGAAAATGTAAATCAATGGTGCTTTCACTATATTATCGGAAATGGATAATATGTCAAACAAGTTACAGATCATGCGAGAAATCAATTTTATGAAGTAGTGGATTGAA